TTTTTTTAATCAATTTGGTGAGTAATTTTTAAACTCGTTGACTTTTATGATTTTATTTAAAGTTTTCGATAAATCTATTTTTAATTTCATTCTTAAAGTTATTTATAATTAATTTTGTGTACAAAATTGATTGCCTTATTTATATTTATTCTATTAAAATAAATTTTTGTTGAGGTTTTTTTTCTGTAAAGTTATGTGATTAATTTTTGATTACTTATAAAGATTAAACAAATTTAGAAAATTGAATGCTTATTTAAATGCAAATTTAGTAAGTGAATGCATTTCTATTTTTAATTAGTATTGATAGATTCGAACTCATTAAATTCGATTACAAATTTGAGAAAAGAATTAAGTAATGCTAAAATTATCTGATAAATAATTAAAAACTGAGAAAATGAATTACTATTTAATTAATGAAAATTAATCACTAATTGATGATATTTTTTAATTAATACATTTGGCTGACTTTTTTTAGTAATAATGTAAACTGAGATGATACATTTCTCCAATATTCTTTTGGCGTTTATTATCTTTTTTAGCACTGTTATAAGTTATTTAGGCAGATCAGTATATTATTATTATTATTATTTTTATTACTTGACCATTGATTGATTGTGATTGTTTTTTGTGAATATCAATAAGATTTATTAAAGTTTTATACTTGTTAGTGTTTTTGGTTTTTTTAACTTATTGTGAAGCAAAATATTGAAATTAACATAACTAATTTACAGGTAATTAAAAAAACAGAACAATCACATACATCGTGGAAGAATATATCCAGTATTGCGATCAAACTTTACAATTATTGCAGCAATAGTATGCATATTGGTTGGTTCAGCCATAATTATTTATTTGTGAATTTAAGTTTCAACCTTAGTTTTTAAATCATTTCAGTTTTTTTTGAAAAAAATTTTACGTGAATTTTTTATATTTGAATTTTAGTTTAAAAAAAGTATCCAATAGTATTTAATAATTTGTTTGAAATTCATAAAAGTAATAAGTTCAATATCATTTGTTACTTAAAAGCTTTATAATTACTAATATTATCAATTAAGAAATTATTAAAAAATCATTAAATTATACTGAAGTAATCATAATAGAAAAAAGTAATCTGAATATTATTATGCAACTACTTGCAAAGTTTTAGTAGTAGCAACAAATAATAATCGAACAGAGCAATTATGCAAGAAAGCATAAGATTTTAGTTATGGCCTAAAATATATGTTTATTTCCGCTCTATTTCACCTCTGACCTTTTTAAGGCAATAGTTTTGCCATGCGAATATTTTTGAACGCAATAATTTTCTAATTTTTATTTTGCAAGCAAAAAATAGGTAGTTTTGTATTTTTAGTTCCAAGTATGATAAAATTATCAGAGAAAATAGCAAACTGATAAGAAACTATCAAAAAAAAGATTAGCTAAACTTTGAGAAAATTTTGAAAAAGTTATATAAAGAAAGTTATTGTAAAGAATTACTGAAAATTTATCAAATTGATGAAAAATTTGAATAAAACTCTTAACTAATTACAACTCTGATAATATTTGGGATAGCTTCATTTTTATTTATCATTAATTTGCAAAAGTAAAGAATCAGGAAATAATACATTAATAACTGTTCATAATGATTAAAAATTATGACATGATATTTAATTTTAAAGATTTTTGTTTTTATTATAATCTTATCAGATAGTATTTTCACTGATAAGCTAATGCTAATAAAATAAATTTAAACAGCGAGTTAAGGAAATAGCTTCAGAAGGCCAAAGTTCACAGTTTTGATGCAGACTAACTTTTCACCATGAAATTATGATTTTAAATTGCAATGATAAAAACCTGATTTTATTGCCTTTTAAGGAGTGATAAATAAAAGTAGTAAGCAGTGATAAAATTTGCATATCAGTACAATTATTTGTCATTGTTTTATGTAATGAATTTTTGAACTGGGATAGAAAATTTTTACATTTATTTTAGTATTAAAATTTGAATTTTGTATCATCAAGTTTTTACAGATTACAAAGTTTTCAACGTAAAATCAGTTTTTAGTAAATAGATTTAATGATTACAAAAGTCTTATTTTGACTATTTGTAATTCATTTGTATGATTACTTAAGTGTTCTGTATATTTTTTCATCAATATTTTATATGCACTTTTTATTGTTTACTTAAAAAATTAATAAATTTTCATATTTTGCAATTAAAGTTTTCATTTTGTTAAATATTTAAGTTGTAAAATTTTTTAACTTTCAAGTTAAAATTGATTAATTTATTAGCAAAAAGGCGCTTAGTAGTTAACATTTTGAGTACTTATCTCTATAATTTATTTACTTAATTCAAAATATTATTTACTAGCTAGAAATATTATAAGCAATTAAAATATTCAAATTTCTAGAGACACCGCTTAACGGGGATGCAAGTGTGCTGTCTGAGAAGGCTGCAGCACAAGCAATAAGGAAAAGTTACGTTCATGGGGTATCTGATATTCCATTACTTTTTGACACGGTTGGAGATCGTCTTCGAATGGCTGTAGATCAGGTCAAATTAATTTTACTCATTTTTTATCGTGTAGAAATTTGCATATTCAAATTTATTTGCTCTTATCATTAAAGATTTCATTTTTGTGATCTTTTTAGGTTCCAGATCGAGAATTTGTCATTTTTAAACGTGATGGTATAAGAAAAACTTATAGGCAGTTACTACATGACGTAATCAATTATTTTTTTTATTTTTTAAATAATACAATCAAATTTTAATTAAATTAAAATTTTCTCTAAAGTGATTGAAGACGATTTCAGACTTAGGTATACAGTTTATATTTGATTTACTTAAATTTTTACTTAATTTAATTTAACCTTAATAATTGCAGTGTGAAAAATTAGCTACCGGACTGCTTCACTTGGGATTAAGTCGCGGTGATCGGGTAGGAATGTGGGGTCCAAATTTGTATGAGTGGATTGTTTGTCAATTTGCAACTGCTCTTTCTGGCATGATTATGGCATGTTTTGTTATGATTACTTTTTTAAATATTGCCAATATTGTAAAAAATTTAAATTTCTGAAACTCAAACATTAATTTTTCATTCAAAAATCTATTTCTAAATAAAAAAATAAAAAGATCAAAAAAAGTATCAGTTTTTCAAGAAATTTAGTGCAATCGCAACTACTTGTATTTAATTCGATAATTGATTAGTTACCTAAATATAAATATTTAAATTGATTTTAAATAGGTAATTATTTGAGGTCAAATTTCGAAGTTTTACTTTGATATTAAAAAACAAACAAAATGTAATGAACAATTAGACAGTAATGTTAGATAAAAATAATTTTAGGTAAACATAAATCCATCATATCAATCTGAAGAATTAAAATTTGCGCTTGGTAAAGTAGGCATTAAAGCACTGATCTCTCCTGCAAGCTTCAAAAAATCAAATTATTACTTATCAATGGTTGATATCATTCCTGAACTTGCTATTAAATCCGAAGGTCGAGGTGATATCACAGCTGATTACTTTCCTTGTTTTCGTCACTTTATTATTATCAATCAAGATGCTAACGAAAATCAGTTATACAGGTTTAAGTCATTACTATCTATTTATTAATAAGTTTTGGTAAGATGATTAGGTGAAAAATAATTAAGATCCTAAGACAAATGAATTATACTTAAAGGCAATGTACCATGCTAAAAATAAGTGCTAACATTTTTGCAGTTGATTAATAAGTTGTTTATTTCGATAAATTAATTACTGGTGATAAGTTTATCCATGAAACTCGTTATAGTGTTATTAATCAAGTTTTAAATTAATAGATTTAAAACGATTTATGGATAAAGTTTTGAAAAAGTGAAATAAGTGATTTCAGGGGAGCTTGGAGGTATTCAGATGTGATCAAGATGGGTACAGAAGAAGATCGACTAAAATTGGCAGATATTGAACGACAAGTGCAACCGGATGATCCGGTCAATATACAATATACTAGTGTTGGTATTTATTTTTTTATTTCTACTTCTGTAAATGAGAGGATCTGAAGTATTTTTTCACATACTACCATCAATTAAAAAATAAAATCAGCATTAAATTTTGATTAAATTTTAATTTATTAGCTTTATTAGTGTAAAGTTAAAAAAGGGAAGACGATAGTTATGAAAAATTAATTTTTAGGATTAGTACAAAAATATGTCATTAAAATAAATATTATCATAATCTTACCATATTCAAATAATGATATACCTTAAAACATCTATTACTCTTTATATGAAGATAATTATTGGTATCGATCCGTGATAGTACCAAAAAATCATGATCTCTTCGTACAAAAATTGAAGATCTTTTGTGATTACAATAATTTGATTATAATAAAAAACAATTTTGCTGGATATAATTTCATTTTTGCGTCGATTATTCAATTATTAATTCAAACCTGTATGCAAATATTGTTGAGATATGTATTTACAGAAATGTAATTATGCTCCAAAAATTTCTGGAATATTATTATGGTCGTTTTTAAAATAATAAATAATACCATACTGAATCAAAGAAAGTACAAAATACAAAGCAATAGTTTGAAAAACAAAAATTGTGGATTGTTAATCAAAAAAATTAAATAAATAAATTATTTTATGAATAATTATGTAAGTGTTGCAATAATTTTTTTGATAATAATAACGTAATGAATTGAGGTGCTTGATTTTGTCCCTTACGTTAATATATTGGATAATTTTTTATGGTTTCAGGGTACCACAGGTCAACCTAAAGGAGCCACCTTAACTCATCATAATATTGTCAATAATGCATACTTTGTTGGCCGTCGTGCTGGCTACAGTGAAAAGGTTACATATTTTGATAAATTAATCATTGGCTATAATTTAGTCATAAAATTCAGTATAATAATTAGTTATTAATTGAATTTTGGAGTTTTGCAATTTTTTGAGCAAATATTTGGATCGAAAAATTTGTAATAACAGTAATTAATAACAAATACTTAATTACAATTACTTTTTTAACATGTTTTTAGGCATTATTGTTTTTCTTTTTATTTAAATATTTAAGCAAATTAATAATTTAAATTAATCAATTTTTATTACAGCGAACCATAATTTGCATTCCAAATCCACTTTATCATTGCTTTGGTTGTGTTATGGGAAGTTTGAGTGCATGTGTGCATCTACAAACTTGCGTGTTTCCAGCACCATCTTTCGATGCTTTAGCTGCTCTTCAAGCTATACATGAAGAAAGGTCAGAATATTCATCTTTCACTTACTTGAATTTAAATATGAATACTACCATTATAAATGCCGGAGCACCATGTCCTAATGTTTTAATAGTATGTCAAACATTGTCATATCATATCACATATCAGTTTTCACATAAGATAAAATCGTGCACAAAATAATTTTTAATTACTGACTTACAGTAGCATTATTTTAAATTCTGAATTACAGAAGCATTATTTTCAATTCTAAATTACAGAAGCATTATTTTAAATTCTAATTACAGAAGCATTATTTTGAATTCTAAATTACAGAAGCATTATTTTCAATTCTAATTACAGAAGCATTATTTTCAGAAATTTTTTCACTTTTCAGTTTTGTGATCAGTAATAAATGATTATACAGCAAAATTTTTATTTCAACGATAAATAGTCAAAATGGTTATTATCTGATGCTTCATTTGCATAATTTGTTAATTTTAGATGTACAGCAGTATATGGTACTCCAACAATGTACATTGACATGTTAAACCATCCACAGTACAAGGAATTTGATTATAAGTCAATAACTTCAGGTTGATTATTCTTTAAACGAGAAAGAAATAAAATATATTAAAGAACTGAAGTAAAATCAAAAATTTAATTTCAACTTTGACATATAAAAATATAAAAGTTGATAAATTACTGGTTAAAAAATATAAATGGAGTAAGTAGTAAGTAATAATTGTATTTTTTTTAATGTGAATGTAAATGTCAGCAATGTAACTTCTGAAGCTTCAAAACTTCTCAAAATCAATATTTTTGAATTTCAGTTTCTTAGATTCTAATTCTTGAATAATTGAGGTTTTGTGGCTGGAGCACCATGTCCTATAGCACTGTGCCAAAGACTTGTTAACGAATTAGGAATGCGAGACTTACAGGTATAAATAAAATTTAATATTTTTGTTTTTAAAATTATCGATATATTTTTCACAATTTTGTGAATTCAGTTTTGCAAACACGTAAGATTAAACGTACTTTTTAGGTATGTTATGGAACAACGGAAACAAGTCCAGTATCTTTTATGTCATTAAGAGAAGAGCAGCCAGAAGAACGAATCAAATCAGTTGGATATATTATGGATCATCTTGAGGTATCTCACAATTAGCTGATTAAATCTAATCTAGCTACTCTGATCTAAACTGATTTGATTTACTTTAGAAACTAATCTAATTAAAGCAATTTCTGCTTGTTTGTATATTTTTGTAGTCTGCCGTAGTTGATAAAGAAGGAATAATATTACCACGTGGAGAACGTGGTGAAGTGCTCGTTCGAGGATATTCCGTTATGCGATGTTATTGGGAAAGTGAAATGCAAACGAAAGAAGAAATTACTGCTGATCGCTGGTACCATACGGGGTTAGTTATTACGCAAAAATTTGCTTAAAAATGTTATTAATTACAAGAAACGATTTATTAATTCATTGTTTTAATTCATTTTAAGTACAGTGAAATGAAGTGAATACAGTAAAATGACGATAAGATCATTTTCTTGAATATTAGTTTCAAATATTCTCTTAATGAATTCAGTATGTAAAATACAGTGGTAATCTTTATCTTGAGATTTTATAGAGATATTGGTGTGATTCATGAAAATGGTTCATTGAGTATTGTTGGTCGAAAGAAAGATATGATTGTACGGGGTGGTGAAAATATTTATCCGCTTGAAGTAGAGCAATACCTTTTCAGGCATCCGAAAATCGAAGATGTACAGGTAGATAAATAAATTATACATAGTGCTTTATTTTAATTTTTTACTGTTGTTTTCTATCTTTTGAAAATATTTCAGTAAATTTTATCTGGATTAATTTAAATATTAGAGTTATTTATCTTAATGAATTCAGTAATTTCTTCTACTACAAGTCAGAGATGAATACTGACTAAGTATTAACTCAGTATTCATCTCTGACTTGTAGTACCATAAAAAGTAGATAAAAGCTCAATTTTCAGGTAGTTGGTGTACCAGACGAACGGTATGGTGAAGTAGTATGTGCATGGATACGTTTGCATGATTCTGCAGATACCGTCAGTCCAGAAGATATTCGAAATTTTTGTAAAGGACGAGTATGCATGATTTGCATTACGTTTTTTATTGTCTTGCGTGATATTTTTTGAAAGAAATCAAATTATGTTTAAAAAAATAACTTTGTTAATATCTATTTTTTTCATTAAAAAACTACTACTCCAAAAATTAAAAAGCTTGTTTTAATAATAAGTTAATATAATAAATATTTTCATAGTTGCAAAAATTAACTAGAAAAAAATTTATCATAAATATTAATTAATCTAACATAATTTATTTATATTAAATAGTCTATCATAATTCTTTTTCTTCTTCAAAAATTTTTGTTTATTTATTTTACCAAATTTTACTTGAGTTTGCTTACAGTATTATGTAAATTTCAGATTGCACATTTCAAAGTTCCACGATATATTTTGTTTAAAAAAGAAAATGAATTTCCAGTAACGGTAACGGGTAAAGTGAAAAAGTATGAAATAAGAGAATTATCAAAAATAGAACTTGGCTTACAGCAAGTTTGTCCTTTACTTTGTAGTTTGCTTATATTGTATAGTAACTCAAGCAGAAAGTATTAATAATGCTTTTAATTAATTTCAAAAAGTTACAGATAACAATTTAGAAAATTTATAACTTAAAGACATTTTAAATCAGTTTTTGAATTTAAGTTAAATTTTTTCAAAGTTTTTGAATTTTATCAAAACTAAACATTGGGAGAGATTAGGTGTAAAAGTATGCAATAAATATGCTTTTCTGTAAAATTACTGATAGATGAATTCATTACTGTAAAATGAACCCATTACTGATAGATATTGTAATTTGTTCTATTAATTTTTGAAATCAGTAAAACATATCGTAAAATTCATTAAGTAATAATTGCTGATCAAAATTAAGCTGTCTTAAAAAGCAATAAAAATCTTATTTAATTATTTTTCCATTTTCACTTCAGTTTATTTACAGTACCAATCCTGTGAATGAACTGAAGTACCAGTACTGTAAATGAACTGAAGTTCTGTTTCAAACTTCCGCAATATATTTTGTTTAAAAAATAAAATGCTAATTTCCAGTAAAAAACATTGTAATAGTCAAGCTAATAATCATGTCCCTTAATTGCTTTAATTAATTTACAAGCACTAACTCACTTATTTACTTACTATTTATACTTACCTGCAGAACTTCAAAGTACAAGTAGTAGAGATTGTTCATTGTTCAATTCTCGATAATAGGCTTCGACAGAAAGTTTTAAAAAATTTTTACAATATTTTTAATCCTTTGATAGTTTCGCTTAGCAAGCATACTTTATTAACATAAAGCAAATATTAACATAGTAAGATAGCTTCATATAACTAATTTAAATACTGTAGCAAAGTTACAGATTAAACCACGTATCGATCATTTTAACGGTGAATGGATTTTTGATGTACAAGCGGAGAAACATAGCGTGAAACCACAGGGTTGACATAAATCACTGATCTATTCATTTACTTCTATGCCATAATTACTGGGAACAACAAATCCGTTAGTAACGAAACAGTATACTTTATTCTTGTTCCTTTAGTACTCCAAAATAAAGATATCAAATTGCATACAAAACTATGTACTTTTAATTGGTAACCATTTATTTGTATGAAATTAACTTACTGATCCCTTTTAGAAAACTTTAGTTTTTATTTGCATACCAAAATGTATTATATTTAATTTAATACAAATAAACTTATATTCAAAAGAATGAAACAAACCAAAATGCAAAAACTGTGATTACTTGAAAAACTTTTCAGCAATTAAAAAGTATCATATGCAAAAATTTTTCATCAACAAATTCATATTTTTTAATCCCATTATTGTAATTCAAAATATATGCTTAGGATTGATTCTATCTCATATTGATGAACTATACTTCAACAATTTTTTATATATACAAACGGAAACAAATTCAATGACAACTAATTATTAGGTTGTTACTAGGTAATTATTAGGTAATTACTAGAATAATTATTAGGTAATTACTGAATCATAAATCTTTTTCGTTAGTACAATCTTGTTTTATAGTTTACTATTTCCATTTAAAATTTGTTTTCAAACTGACTTCATTGCTTTACTTGTATAATGTTATAGTAGATGTACGTGCTATAATTTATAGCAAATGAATTGATTACATGAGTCGAAAAAATTTTTTTGCCCATTGCTTATTATGATTTTAAATAATTGCTGTTCTAGCTGGTTTGTATTACTATCTATATGTTTGATTGCATATTTTTTATGAGACAAAATTATAAGCAAAGCTTTTCCAAGCTTTCATTTGGTATCAGGAAACCATACTACTGTAAAGTGTCGCTAAATTGTAGCTTTCTTTCATTTGCTGAACAACTTCAGGTCAGATTACGCCAAAAATTATACTTCAAGAATTTAATAACTGTAAGAATGATTCAATGTTTTACAGATGAACTTAATTGTACTCTAATAATCATGCACCTAGGAATTATTCAGATCTCACTGATTACGCTAAAAGGAAAACAACAAAGTACTTATTCTGAGCAATTTTTGGCAAATTATCTGCTTGAATTATTAGTACATATTCGTTTCGTACTGTAAAAAATTCAACGTGAAGATGTTGTTACACGCTTCAGATACCAATCCATACCCAGAGATTAGAATTATACCAAATAATTCCTTAACGTCAAACATTTATATTTGCATGCTTCAAAAATGTTTCAAATAATGATTACTGAGATATCACTTAATCTGTTCATCACCTCACATAATCAAATCAAAAGACTGATCCGACGATTCTAAGAAATACCAAGACACTTAATCAAGTTGGGATTCCTGAAGTAATTACAACTTTCCACATGTATCTAACACTCCCTAAAAATCTCAAACGAAGTATATTTCTTAAGTCTCTTCACTACTATAGATAACATACCATCTACAAATATATGCACTTTTAAGTCAAGAAAACACCTAAAGGAACAAAAAGCCTTAACATAAAGCAGCACCATCTCAAATTGTTCAGGCAGTAATTGTCTTCTTCTTTTCGACACCATAAAACAAATTAAAATAGTATAACATCAAAAATATGGATCAGTTTCTTGATTTTGTATTGGCAATCTTATTTTTCATTAAGCAATGCATATGATGAGCGTTTAATTACATTAACGGGTATGAAAGAACGTCAAACTTAAGAAGAAAATCCAAAGCTCAAATCCAAGTTAAACACTAACTACAAGCTAATTGATTCAATCAACTAACTGATGTATAAGCGATAAGAACGTAAAATACTGTCAGAAAAAATCAAAGGCAATATCAAAAAAGGAGCAGCAATTCATGTAAACCACAAAAATGTAATAAACTTTTCAAGTCACTGACATTTGAGTTTTTTATTTGTAGCAATGAAACTTCACCATTTAAAATTGTTCTATAAATTTCATATTTCTATACGATTACAAAAAAAAATAGACACATATTTTTTAAGTTTACACCAAGAAAAAAGAAAATCGTTCTTGAAAGCTAACAAATAACCTAATCCTAAATTATGCTCTAAATTTGAATTATGACAAAGTGAATTTTGACTTTAATTTTTAATTCAGAATTCATCGACAAAATGAATGATCGATATATAACGAGAATCGAAAGCAGAATTAAAGTTTCAAATCAAAAAAGAGAATCAGTTTCTGAAAGCATCTTAGTACAAAATGCCAAATATATTAATCACAAATCCATGTTTAGGAATTGAAAGAATATAAAAGGAAACGAAGTTATCAGAAGAATGTCATTAACACATAATCATAGAAAGATGAGACATCATGACCAACAAAATTATTCAAATTGTAATCGTTGAAAAATAATCACAAGAGCTACTAACAAAAAAGATTTTACAGCAAAAAGTACTAAATTTTTGAAAAGAAATTCATCACAGAAAGCAAGACGATATATCACTGCCTAGAATTGATAAAAAACACCATATAAAAAATTCATGATGAAACTTTTAATGTAGTTTTTAGAAATCCAGATTGAAACATTGTAATCACCAAAAATGAGTGCTTTAAAATTAAGCTTCTCTGGCAGAAGATTTCATTCACTATCTTTGCCATGACTTTTTTTGGCATAAAAAAGCTAGCTAAAGCTCAATTCGAATTCTATTATCCACTACATTGAATGCTGAAATTAAATGGGGTGCATCAAAAATGATAAAATTAAATTCTATCAAAAAGCAAGTACGAGAAGGAGCGAAATAAAAGGTTAAGAAGTACAATAAACCAATTTAATTATTATCCTTACATATCAAAAAAGAAAAAAATTAAAAAACTTTGTAAATTCCTCTTTTCGTATTACAGGGAATAATAGCTAAATATAGTCATTGATAAGAATTAAAAAAATCTTGTGGCAAGAAAAAACAACCTCACTATTACAGATAGCTTATTTAATCTTGTCACAAATTATTTAGAAATATAAGTCTGGAAATATTTGCACAAGATATTAGCAATATAACTTAGTTTCATTCTTTTTAAAATCATAGATTTAATTCCAGCGCTATTTTCGATGCAATGTTTTTGAAACCAATTGATGTTCCCGAAATGCGTTTAAAACGAACACCATTAAGACTTAATCTAGGCAATTTGCAAACCTGAAACAGATTTAAATAGTTCACCAACAAAATCACTGCAAATTCATAAAATGACCATAACAAAATTACAAAATGTTCTACCAATAAAAGTTTAACAAAAACAACAAAAATATCTATACCAAGCTTTCCTCTAAACCAAACTTCAACAGAAAATGTGAAGAAAAATAACTTACTTCCATCTCCCATTGCACAAGTGAATCTGTATTAGGATCACCATGCACACATAATAATAAATATCTTTCACGTTGTTCGTAATCGCAATTATTCAAATCCAAAACTTTTCGAATTTCTCTACAAACGAATGTGTATGAAGGTGCAAAAAACAATACATAATTTTACATTCCATAATAAAATAAGTATATTATAAAATATGTCCAAATTATAAAAGCAAACTTCATCATTTCATCAGGTGGTAAAGAACTGGTAGTTTTCATGCTCCACGTAAATCGCAACGATCGTGGCTTAACTTCATCTCCATTTGATATTTCACACCCAGTACCTAATGATGCATTTGGTGTTACAGTGAATTGACCATGATGCTGCTGCTGTTGACTAGGATTTATTCGTTTAAAGCCTCCCAAGCCTCCAGTTGTTGGTCCGATTGTACTACTTCTACCACTATGTGCAACTGATTCAACAACTGCGTTTCCAGAATTTGGCGCTGTCGTAGTACTCAGTACTGATCCTTCAGCGATGCCCATAATTGGTGACCTGCGTGATGATTGATGATGTAGAGATGATGATGTACAATTTGAATGCCCATTACTATATGCACAATATTTTGTTGATGGCAATTGCACACTATTACCCGTATTTAAGTTATGGTAATGGTTTCCTCCCGTAATACTACTTCCAGTACCACTATTTGATGACGCCATCGATGCACTGAATGAATGCATCGAATCATTCGATGATCGCAAAGTATCAGTAGTATCAAAATGAATAGATGGTTGGACAACAGCAGGATTATTTGCACAATAATCTCCTTGAAGATGATAACGTGTAGACGATATGGGATTACAATAATTCAAACCTCGAGAAGATGGTTTGACACGAAATGAATCATATTGATAGCCAAGTGGTAAAACCTTCTCGCAACTTTGTGACGCACCAGAAATACTATCACTACCCAAATGAACCGAAAACGGCCGTACTGGTAGACTTAGCTTAGTACTTATTTGTTGCATATTTGCAGTAGTAGTGTTGTTGCAAGTGATACCAGCAGTACCATCAAAATGTGAATGCCGATGAGCTACCTGCTGTTTCGAAGCAACGGGTGACAAAAGAAGTGGGAACATGTGCTGTTGATTATTGCTTGCAGATAAAGTATTCTGACCAGAAAAGCAACGCAACTGTGATGAGGGTAAAGCACAATTATTAGACAAGCCATTTTCACGAGTACCATGAACAGATAATGAGGCATGAGCATGGTATGGATAAATTTGATGATACTGATAATGATGATGAAGGCTTGATGATGGTGAAGGTAATGATGACTTCTGCACAGCAGATGAACCACTACAAAACAGTAAAAATAGCATTTCACATAACATTTTGCTTGCTAGATTCTAAAATTATTCGCAGCTACTTTTGCAACTGAAGAAGTATTATTTTTGCCTCAAGAAATCCTAATTTTGAACTCCTTATCAATAGAAAAATCTTATTTTTTATTTTAAAAAAGTTTCACACAACCCGTGTTTTTCACAAAACTTTTTGAAATCCTATATCTTTGAATCATTTTTGCCACCGCAAAAATGTAAAATGAAATAAAGAAAGAAACCGCAAAATTTGTATGTTTTAGCGAAGATGAAGCAAAACCAAAAACCTTTCATTGAGAAAATAAAGTGAAAATTTGATTTGCAGATGCTTGCAAGAACTTTAACATAAACAAAGTAAAGAGACTTAAAACGTGCCATAAAATGAACAAAACAAAGCACTTAGAAAGAACATATAAGGATTTCCATTTCCAGTTACTATGTTCTTATAAAGATATTTAACTGAGTGCAAATTATATTACAACATGCATTTGGGTGCCAAAGCTACAAATAAGCAAAATTTTAAGATGGCAATTGTAAGTAAACGTAAATTAATATTACTTTACTACAGCAGTAATTTACGAGCAGTGTTAATAAATTCAGTCTCAAAAGATTTTCCATGGTAAGTCATTTGAATGAATGAATTTTTGATCAAGAAACTCTAGCTTTTAGCTTAGTAGCATTCTATGATGTTTGCACTATTCTTGCAATCTGATATTAGCCTTTATAATAAAATAATCAAATGCAGTAGACAGAGCTTCTTTTGGCATTTGTTGCCAGCTTCAAAGGAGTCTATTTCTCAAAACAATGAGTAATGTAATTATTTAAGTTGTAATATAATGCTGCACTAAGTTAGTGAATCCAAGACACCTCATCACAAGACTGTTGCTTTCCCAGCAAGAAGAACATCTGAACTATCCAAATAGTAAGTCAAATTATTACTTATTCGAATATTCAGTATACCAGATATGTAAAATAAATTTGAGTCAAGTGCAAGGCAATAATAGATAAATAAACTCTTCAAAATAATTTACTGCTCGATCGCGTGATGCGAACTGCGATGAATAGAGGAAACCATCACCATAACCCACATAGTTGTGCACAAATTAAAGAAATTAACTGAAATGCTGTGAAAACAATTTCTGAAAGGACACATAATATGCCATATCATAATATTCCTATATAACTCTGAACTTATAGATTATGCAATTACAATGAACAACTTCTGTTGTGAAGTTTACAGTCAGTCACTAAGTTAAAACTACTAATAAAATGATTATTAATCATTGATTAGTAATCATGATAAATGATTAATAATCATTTTATTCAGTAATATGTAACATACTTTCTACCAAACTATTCTAATCTTAAATCTCACTTTTCTATGGTTTGTGAGAAAATGTGGCTAACTATTTCTAGTAATTTTCTTTCACACAATTTTAGTCGTAATGCAACACAACTTTTCATTCTTATAACCTCGGTTAGTAAAAGCGTAGTTTATACATTTAATACGCAAGCAAAAAAAAACAGTTTGTTTCATTTGTGAAAGCTATTTTTTTTGCAAAAGTTAACAAAATTCATTAGTTTAGTGAAAAACAAAGCTGAAATTAAATGTGCTTTTTCTTACAAAATCCTACCTACAAAAAGTATTTTTCTACAGGCAATCTATTAACACAATTAAATCACTGACCGGCGAGTAAGTTTAGATAACTTTGATAAGAAAGACCCACGTGGACCACCATTTCCTGAAGTATTACCACCACCATGCACTACTTCTGACTCAACATCATCATCTATACCACTCTGTAATTTGAGAATATAATTTTTGCTAACTGAACAATCAAAGCTAATGAAATGATAAAAGAAAGAGTTCACAAATCATTCCAAGAAACATAACAAAAATTGGCTTAAGAACCTTGTTATGCTCAGTTTTTCCGTGAAACGTTTGTCTATTACGAGTATGTCGAGGAAAAGCAGCATATTGTGCTGCCAAGTTATGGGTATTCAATACAACAGTGGTTGGCAACATTGACGTTGCTGATAAAGGCTAAAATTAGTCCAAATGTTATAACATAAAACAGAACATGAACTCTTCATCATTTCCACTCAATGAATATTTGAATCCCAGATTTCTTCCAAAAAATATGTATAATTTTTTAATGAAGGAAAAATTAAATTAAAGTTTCATAGATCCTAGACAACAGATCAATTTTACAGATTAAATATTGTTTTTCACCGGAATTGGGCCCAGAGCAGTACCAGTTGCAGATTTTGTTAATTTCGGACTGCTATTTTGTGATTCTAAACCTGGAGATTGTGCTGTTCCATCAATTGTTACATTCTTGATGACTGCTTGAGCAGAAGCGCTTTGATGCAGCCTATAATGAATTGTAAAAGTGATTTTTATATTTTCAGCATTTTCAATAACCATTATGTGTTCGTTGTACTTTTATATATAACTGAAAGTAAATAATCAGTTATAATTACGTTGCTAAAAAATCTTCCAGACCAAAAAAACGATTTAAAAAAAACTACATTACATTCTATCAGATCAAAAATACAGAATACTTGCACTACTAAAAAATAAAAATGAAATTAGAAAAGCCAAGTTATAAAGCTACTTGCCAACTTGTTAGCAAATAATTAATTAAAGCAAATTTTAAAAAGTTTGCTCTCAAATTGCTCTAATCTCAATATTCAATAAGCGTCAATCACCATTCATTTCTCACGTTATCGAGATTCATTTCACACATAAAAATCATAAATTTTTAATGATCCCAAGCTTTAATGGAAACAAAGAATGAAATATAAAATTACAAACAACCACTGCTATAAAATAATTAACACGAAGACAAGAATTATTCGCATCAAATTGAACGATGACTTTTTTATTTTTTTCTTTCAAGTACTTACACTTTCTTGAAAAAATTCTTTGGAAAATTTACAAATTACATTCAAAAAAAAAACATAATCGCAGTAACTGAAATATAACTTAATTATTCTAAAAAAAACTTACAAACATAAAAAAAGCACTCCCTGACTTGCTCTTAAAGAACTCTTAAAAATAAAACTACAAATATATCATGACTCTCAATTATGTAAAGCACGACAATCTAAAAGATAGAAACGAACATAAAGGTTAGCATAAAATTAAACATTTATTATCAGAACTCACTAACAGATTCTGATATTTGGAAAAATATAGAAAATCAATTAACACTGAACTCAAGAAAACAGAAAAAATTATACAATATTTGCTTTGAAACTAACAATACAATAAGGTTTTAGAAATTATCCTCACAACCGAAATAATAAGCAAAATCATGAAATAAAAATATGGCTGATAATTGCAATAATAATAAGTTAAGAAGCAAAATTATTATCCTAAAATGGATGAAATTTAATTATTTTATTTATTACTACTTTCAAATGACTATTTTCATACTTTTCCTCTTTTCTTTCAGTCTGTTCAGTAGCTGGTGATTGCTGTCGCGAAAGTGATGAAGCACCTTCATCCACAGCATCTCCTACACCAGAACGAGTTATTCCCACATTCTCATCGGTAACAGTTTCGCTACCAATACCTGTCGACTCTGAGGTACCAATTTCTTCATTGCTACCAACTTGTTCAATATTTTCATTGTCATCTTCTTTTATTGATGGCTCATTTGGAGCAGTCGAAATAGACCCACTTTTCTATAAGTACCACATTATTTCAACTTCTTTCACATATTTCATTTTGCTTCAAGTATAATTATTCATTAGAAAGTTTTCGGTACAGAATCAGACCACAAAAATACCCGTAGCGAAGGGATCTTTTGCTGTCCTGAACTAGGAAATGACGAATGCGAAACACCGCGCGCAGAACAAGATCCACTACTGCTTTTAGGTAAGGCTTTTGGTCTAAAAAACATCAAAAATTTTCAAAAATTACTCATAATATAAAATCATTATTGGGATAATGAATAATATAGTACTTTTAGCCTTCAATCAGTAAGTATGGAAGTAATCACGGAACAGAATTTCAAACTTACTCAACAGTTGAATATACATATCGTGATCCCGTTGCTGTAATTCCTCTTGGTCCCAAATTAGTTAATGGCGTTTTGCTAGGAACAGAAGTTTTTCTAAAACCAGGAGCGCCACTATTTTGTCCACTACTTCCAACTCCTTGCACTACATTTGCTGGATAATTAGCCACTAAAAGAAGTGAAACGTAGTATGAGAGGCACAGATTCATAACAATAATAAAGTCAAACGATCAGGTGAAGTTTGATGCTATAATAACATACTAATATGGCCTGCTTGCATGCTGAGTGCTTGACGACCACTTGGTGGGCCAGTAACATGCCGCATTGTTACTGGAGTCACACCTATACCTGGGATAACACGCTGCGTTCCAGGTGATGCTGTAACATGAATTTCGGACGGCACTAGCGCTGCTGGAAGTTGAGCACTTGGTGCAATTGGATTTACTATAGATGTACTTGCTTGCTCCTGCGAGTTACGTCTTGGAGCCTTAGTCGACTGTACTTGAGCTGATGTTGACCTGGGTACAAACTTTTGAGTCTGAAAAATTATTCAACCTTCCTCTGTAAAAAAATCACTTTGTCTACTAAATTAAGTAGACTTGAATAATGCACTGACTTTTTCATGAGATAGCTTTGGTATGGAATATAGTAACTTTGATATTACGCACTATAAAGTGAAAAGTTTACCATGACAAAACCGGCTGAATTGGATGGCTGAGTATGAGAATTCTGAACTTGACTTATCCCATGGGCTACGTTTTGAACTGACGTAGGATTTACCTGAGCACTGAGAATGGAATCTGCATCAGGCTGAAGTTTTATAAGAATGAATATAGAATGGCGTACTCATATTACTAAAATACCACTAAAAAACTAACAATTTGTAGATGTCGATTGAAGAGTTTAAGTAGTAAGCTTCTCTTTAACTGAACTACTTGATCACTTAAAGAGAAGCTTATTACTTGAAAGAAATTACCATTTGCTATTAATTATAGAAGTGAAATAATTCGAAAAAAGACTAGTATTTTTTACTATAAGTACTTTACACACTAAGGTCAAATCATATTCAAAATTACAAATTTTACCTCTCGTTTTTTATCGCCCAATAAAATGTAGATAGCATGAAGATCATCGAAACTGCCTTTATCTAATGATGAAATTATTGCACTTCGACTGTAACCCATTTGCTGAATAATAGCTATTCGATTCTCATCTTTTACATCTTTTGTTGGCTCAACATATGGTTTCAGTTCGTCATCATAGCCTATATTCATCCACCTAAAATAGAAAATCAAAAAATACATTAATACACTCATATTTTCTTCTTCCCAAATATTGATTTTTTCAAAACGAAAATTAGTAAGTTTATGATAATATATACGAAAGAAACAAACTTATTTTCAAATAAAGTAAAATAAGACTAAAACTAACCGATCTTTCATTATTGCTTCCAGTGTTCCACGACGGGCAGGATTTAGTACGAGAAATCTTTTTAGAAGATTTTCACAGTCAGTGGACATATAAAATGGTATTCGATATTTGCCTCTTAATACTCTTTCCCGTAAATCCTACAAGAATAATGAAAAATCAGTCAACGAGGCAAGAAATAAAGTAAATGAATGTGAAAAAAGACAACAATGAATGAATAAAATGCTGCGAATCAACAAAATAGTTTCATAAACATCCCAAAAGCAATACCACAAAACAGTACTTTTAAATTTTGTCCATCGAAAGGCAAACTACCGGAAACGAGAGTATATAAAATGACTCCTAAACTCCAAACATCTACTTCAGGGCCATCGTATTTCTTCCCTTGAAATAATTCAGGAGCTGCATAAGGAGGACTGCCACAAAATGTATCCAACTTGTTACCTGAAAAAAGAAAATCATTGCCCTTAACAAGTAGAATTTAAACTGCACAATGTTGCAAACACGCAAACAAAAAATTAAGTAAATACCTATCACAAACTGATTGCTAAATCCAAAATCAGCAATTTTGATGTTCATATCAGAATCAAGCAGCAAATTTTCCGCCTAAACAAAATTTTTTAGCGCTGCGACAGAACAACAAATAGCAAGAATAAATTGAATTATTAAATAGTTATTGTAATATGTCTTTCTTTGCAAATATATAACCTTCACATTTTTACTTATAACACCTGGAAAACAGAGTTCCACAAGCAATACAGCTCTATAAATCTTATTCTCAAAAACCTATCAAATAACGTTAAAAACAAGTCTTTTGTTGCACATAAGATTGTAAAAACATTAAATTTTATTCAGTTTTTGATGTAAATGCAACATTATTAGAAATAATTTATTTGTAAGCACCTTAATCACACTGTAACTAAAAAATGCACCTTCAAATCCCTGTGGATAATATTTTTCTGATGCAAATATTGCACAGCTGATACAATCTGTCGAAATTTCGCTCTCGCTTCCTTTTCTTTCATTCTACCGTGAGCTACCAAATAATCAAACACCTAAACACAAACAAAACTTTATCCTTATTAAATTTAGAAATTTACCTATAAAACAACCTAAAAGAGATTAAAAATAATACACAAAATTCTCATCAAAACATTAAGAAAAGCTTGTAGCAATGAAAATGATATAAAAATTTTACCTCTCCACCACTTGCATATTCCATTACGAGATATAGTGTATTATCTGTCTCTATCACTTGATAAAGTTTTACTAAAAATAAAATTAAAAGCTAGTTTGAAGACAATGAAAAGAAAACATATATATACATAATCATCGATTTTCGTTAATGTAATCAACAGAAGTTAATTTTGAAAAGGGTATAAAGAATATTCATTCTTTAAGGATATTTGTTTACAAAGTTTCAAATACCGATATTTGGATGATCCAATTGTTTCATTATTTTCACTTCACGGAATAACTGAAATAACATTCATTACTAAAAACAAATTAATTCTGACTGCCATAAAATTGTGTTCTGAACTGCTGTATAATTTAAATAGATTTAGAGTGAAAGTTAATTTCTTAATATCAGATTATCCATAATGAAAATAATAAATACTTTGTGCAGGCTGCTTGGATTCAGAGCAAATTTATCAATAATTTTAATTGCAACTTCGATACCCGTAGGGATATGCTTGGCCAACTTTACCTAAAAACAGGTAATTTAACAAAAAATAAGCTCTAATCAAAAAAAATAAGTTCCATAACTTACAAGACACTTCATCATTGAAAAACTTGATATCAGTTTTTGTGATTAGTCTCCTTATATTTTATGATTCAAAATTATGATATTCCTCACAATAATCTGGCAACAATACCTATTTTGTGAAATTTTAATTTAATCTTCTATAAAATGTAAGATGTATAATAAAAACAGTAATGATTTACTTTAGCAAAGTTTCCTTTGCCTATCGTTTTGAGCAATTTATACTTTCCAATACGTGGATCATCAGTTGTTCGCGACCTGCCTTGCATACGAATCGCATTCAAATTCGAAGATCGATGAGTACCATGAAATCCACTGGTGTTGTGATGAGAGCTTGAACTGAACATTTATTATCACTGTTGCATACAATTACGAAAGATACAAAGCTGCTGTTACTACATGAATTAATTTGTTCATTATGCTTAATATTAATTTATTAAAATAAATAATTTCATATATAACAGCAGTAGATTTCATTGATTTTAATGAGATTTGATATGTTATATAAACAATAATTAACTACAGAAAAATAATGAAAGTCATAAGTAGTATGAAATGAGTTCTTACCTTGGATGTGCTCCATGATGTGAGGAAACCTGTGTACCGGCATGTGAACCACTGCTTCCAGTAACTGCATGATGATGAGAAGCAGACGATGATGGTGCAGTCATTGATGCATGCTGTACTGTGGTAGGCATTCGTGTATGTGGTTCCAACGTCAACCGATTGAGTGCACTGTTTGGTACTTTCAACGAAGAATTTGGTGCCTTCTGCAAAAATGACATACTTGATCCTTTCTGTCTGAAATTATCACTTTAATTTTTATACAATTGATCAGCTACTGAAATATGCATTACATTAAAAAAAAAACTACTTAGTAACTATAACAAAATAATACCAAATAATAAACGCATAAATGATATCAGTACCAACATAATGAGAACTCATGCTAAATAAGCTATTTTTAAAAAGGAAATTAGCTACTCGATAAAATCGGAAAATGTAAACTACTGTGGAAGAAAAAGGCCTTTAGAAGTGAAAATAACCAAGTATGAAATCAAACTAGATGCTTGATCTATCCATCAATCACGATCTAAAACTTTCATAGCAATTTTTTCATTTTTTTTCTACCAACTTCTTAATACTTTGTTATTTTTAAGCAGCTACTCACATCTAATAGCTGTTTTTATTATATAACAATATTAATTTTATTACTGTTAAAGTAACACACATATTAGTCATAAAAACTTATGATAACTTTCCATTACTTTTCACTATTAATTGAAAAACACTGCGATTCACAATTTAGCAGTAAAGTATAATACACAACCTTTCCTACTAATAATCCCTGAATTAAAACTTTGATACCCATTGCAATTTAATTATAATTATTTCTTTCAGTGCTAAATATTTTATGCATATATTATTTCCCATTTTATTATCACCACTTATTAAAAAACCACTCAGCCCTTTCATTGCCATTATATCATCTTGTTTAATTTCTTGCTTCATCTCGTTACCATTCTAATCCTTCCTGATCAACTCATTTTAATTTAGTATTGATACAATGACAAATCAGTAATATTATCATATATAAAATAATATCACATCATATCATAACAAATACTAAGATTAGTAATAATTCTTAAAAATTGCTAGCGATTCATACATTTTGTCCGGTAGTTGGGCACTTTGTAGAAGCTGTAATCTGTGCTTTATTTTGTCGAGATGATGTTGGCACAAGTGGTGGCGTATTTTTCCAGATTATATTTTTGCTCACTGCCTCAGTGCTGGAGCATGATTTCACATACTCCTAAAATATACCAACGATTAAATTAATAATCATGCATTATTTCATATTAGTAATCATTATTATTTCGTTTTTATTTTGATAAAAATTAATAAAGACGCACAATTTCATTTTCTCACAAACATATTTAATTATCCTAAGGTTTTTAGAATATTAGTTCAACATTATCACGATTTATCTAAACAACTGCAATGCAAAAAAATTTAATACGTGTAGTGAAAAATAATTCATCAATAATCTAAAAATGACTAAAAACTTGATCTCAACTTTACTTGATCTAATATTACAAGCACAATAATATTATATTAATTACAATACTTAACTTAATCAGACAATCCATGAAATTTTAATAAAAACCTTATTTTGTTATGAACTACAAATGCCAATCATCTCATATTCAATAACAATTTACGACTACCACTGATAATAATTACACAATTATAAATTATTGCAATATATATAACCATTGCTAAATTTCAAATATTCAAAAAGAGAAAAAACATGTTTTTGACTATTGCGTAAACCACACACAACTAACAACAACACGTTTTCATTTCGAATGATCCGTAATAATGCTTCAATGCCTCCGTATTGAAGTTGATAAAATACACGTGATAATTAATATTATCGATATTTAAATATTGAAATTGTTGCATACTGAGAGAATACTTTTACATACTAATTGATTAAAAATAACTTATATTTAGATCAAGCTCCAATCATTAATTAGTACGAGGTCATTCAATATTTTGAGACATAGATTTTTCAATTTGGCTAATGTATGTGAGTATTAATTGCATGAATTTTCAATCAACCCTATTACTACATCTATCTCAAAATCCTAACCATAAAGAGTGTCATTCATGGGGTGAAAAATAACCAAAACTGGCTTAAAAAGTAGTATATATGCATAGAGCTGATTGATTCGCGCAACAGGTCGATAATTATTGAATGACCTCGTCCTAATTCAACAAACTTCATATTCATGTAAGTATGTGTGTGTATATGTCTCATAGACATACAACGATGTACACACTTTTCTACTGAATTACTTATAATAATGTATATAAATAACAAAATAAATACTTATATAAGTGATGTTAATATATTAAATTAAAAAATTTAATAAATGTTAAATTTTTGTCTTCTAACATTTAAAACGAGTTGTTTTCGGATACTGAAAAAAAATACAACTTACAAGCACTTAATACCAAATTTTTAATATGAAAAACAAATTTAGATAATTTATGATGATTTTGTGCAAAGAATATTTTCAAATTAGTAAATATAATAAGGATATAAGTGTAATAACTATAATAACTAAAATTACAAATTTAAACTAAGCAAAAAAAGAACTAAAATATGATCACTAAAAGCAACAAATAATGCTAGTTTTAATTTAATCAAATAATATCTCTGAGCTATTTTCCACATTTCGTTCTTGCATATTTAATCTAATTTTAATCATTGCAAAAAATAATTCTGCCACCACAAACAAATTTCAAATAAACTCTTTTTTACACTGATTTTTGAATCAAATACTATATACTACACTTTCGAGACACTAATTTTCATTCGCTCGTTATCATACTTTTAGGATAATATTACTTATTGAAATAAGCGCCAACTTTTTAAAATAACTTATTTGAATAACTGTAACAACTGCTCATACGTCATAATGATTCGAACATAAGGCATGTTATAGTAAGCAAAAAAAGATAAAAGAGTGTTAGATGGCCTTGAAGATGGTAAAGAAGACAGGATAATTTTTTAAATGAATATAAAATTAAGAATGCGAAAAAAAAACAAGAACTCCGAAACCGTAAATTCATTTATGAAAACTTAAAATAAGATCAGTCTTAGTCTAAACTAGATATGACTTAATCTCAAACCCGCTAATTAATCACAATTTAGGATATGTGCAACATTTACAAAATAACAGCTTAAAATGCATGCATGACTACTAATGCATTTGGTTGTTTGACATTGACCAAAGCAACACATATTCAGAAAGCACACTCTGCCTCCATTTTTTTACTTGCATGAAGTGATTATTTGCAAGACAAAAGCTTAAAAGTTGATGAAAATAACTTCAAATCAAATAATGTAATAAAAAAATTTGTGATGAATCGCTCAAATCAAATCCTATCTTACCCATTTTTGTACTCGCTAAAATTAACTCCGATTGTCCTAAAACATAACATTATAAATTATTTTGAATATCTTTATATTGATTACTGGCTGCATAAAATTTGCATATTACTGCATGTTCCCTCAGCATATAAATACAAATAACAGACTAATTTCTACGAATAAAGAATTTAAAATCATGGAAATCTTACAGTAGCATATAAACCTTTTATCATTGCAGTCCATTACAGTGATAAAATGCATTCTACAACAATTTTCAGCATTGACAAAAATCTTCATTCTTCTTAGATAATTTATTACAAACTTCTCATCAATTTAATATGTTTTGAGACTAAATTTGAACTACAACATCAGCAATTTCAGGATGAACATTTCAAAACTAGTCAAAAAGGTATATCTTCAACACTTTCGACTCTAGCTTACAAAATCATACACAAATTTCTCGTTGACTCAGATAATTTGCCTCATATTATTAACATTTAATACATGAAGTCAGACTTAGTTCACGTACTAAATGCAATCACGTTACAGAGTGCTAATTATCATCACGGAACTAACTAGCCAATTTTACAACAGAACTGATTACTATAGTGCATTGATATGCAGGTACATGCATCAAAAATTTCACTATTCATTACCTATGCTTAATCCGTATATCGCGTATGACATCACTGATATGTCCTGCTGACATTGAGCACAAATATGTGCTTCTTTAAGACTTAGTTTATAATATCAACTATTCACTAGTTAGTTGTATGCTGATAATTAGCATAACATGTTCATACTGATTAACAGTGAAGGTTTTTAATTACTTAGCTGCATTTAATTAGATTCCTAATACTGCTTTCAAACTTAAAAACAAATAATTATCACATCACATTTTTGTTTTGGTCACAAATTAAAGCCATGAATTTTCGAAAAAACTGCACAAAAACATATCAAAAATTTGCATTATCACATATAAAATCAAACTTTTTGCATTATACTCCTAATTTCTTGCTCTCAGAAGTAACTTTTGACTGAGTTATACAGCTAAAAAATATAATACTGGACAGTTTCTACTAAAATTTCCAAAACAAATAATTTGCAGTGAGAATAAAGAATGAGTTTACCTTTTATCATTAAAAATAATACAGCACGAGCTTACAATCATAATTTAGAAAAATTACTTGGTTAAAAATATTAATATTCAAACAAAGACTGCCAAAATTGGATAAATAACTATTTAAAAACTACTGAACAACTAACTACTAACTGCATAACTATTTAAGTAGCATAGAATTGATGTAAACTACTTGATAAATTCTCATTTATCGCAATCATTCATAAAGGTTTAATTTTGAATTAAGTAAAATATATGTCTTATTTGATCAGAAAAATATAAATGGTGCAGAAGATGGCGGTGTAATATCACATAATAATCCTCTGTTATTATTAGTAACATAATACCGATAGAGTGATTCATATATATGAATATAATGCATATTATGATTATTATTACTATTACTATTATTATTATTATCTTTACTATTATGATTATTATATATTCATAGTATTTCTACTGCATGTACCCTATAATAAAATCTTTTCTAGATATTGCTCGAAATCTACTCATTCATTTTCTTGTGTAAAATAACCAATTACTCAACAAAAAAAAATACATTATTACTTCCCTTATCTTTTAAAACAATAAATAATAGTGAAAATATAATATGTAGCAAATTTTGCTAGAAATACCATCTTGAGGACGAATTAAGAGAATCCTTCAGACAGATATAATCGCAGATTATTCTTCTATTCTTTGCAGTGAGTGATGAAGAACAGAGCAAAAATACGGTC